GTGGTGTTTGTGTTGGTGGTGATGGGTACGATGGTGGTTGTGGTTTTGGCGACGGTGATCGTGATGGTGGTGTTGTTGGAAGTAGCGGTGAGATGGTGGTCGCAAGTGTTGGTGGTGGTCACAAATTATTTGATTGACTTTGATCATTAAATTGGTTAATATATAATCAACAAATAATATGTGATCAATAAAAAAATATAAATTATGACCAAGAAATAATCTGTGACTTAAAAAAATTTTAATTTGTGACTTGATAATTTGATAATTTGTAACTGTATAATAAGTTGTAACTTGTAATATTTGTGATTTGTGACTAATGAATAAGTCGTGGCTTGTAAATTTTTTGATTTGTGACCGATGGACAAACTGTGAGCTATAAAATTTTTGAATTGTAACATAAAATTTTTGATTTGTGACAAAAAAATAATAAGTGACTAATTAAATCGTTAATTTGTGACTAAATTGTATAGATCTGTGACATAAATATACTTAATTAATAAATTAATTAATTAACTAAATCATAAATAAATTTTAATAAAAATCTAATTTTAGAAGTTTGAAACTTATTTTCTTGATTTTGAAATGTGTAATACTTAAAATCTTATTTATGAAAATTTCCTAATAAAAAATATATGTATATGTTTATCTCAAATTCTACTTTAGCCAGTTAACTTAATCTACTATCCTAGTCTAATGATAAATCGTCCAAATTTAGTTGAACATTCTACTTTAGCCCAATTAATTTTCTACCCTAGTCCAATAATAAATATTCCAAATTTAGTTAAATACTCTACGTGTAATTACACATTCATCTAAGTCACATTTGTGCAAATACGAAAAATTCATTATCAAGTTAGGTACTTTATTTCATCTATATTTGACCAAGTTTAAAAGGTTCATTCCAATTAAATAAATAAATTTTATAATAAATCATTTTTTATTAAAGTAAAAATAAATGACTTATTTATACCGTAAGAGAGCTACGTTTGATTAGGCTTAAATGTAATTAAATTTTTCTATGTATATTTTCACATGTTACTTATTCATACTTTTAAGTAAAAAATTTACTTATTTTGAGCATCTTATCTAACGTGAGTTCATTAAAATTTTTATAAATTATAGCCCACCCCTTCATTTTTTTCTGGCTCCGCCCCGGTAATTCATAAACGTGTAAGTGGTGGCACTGAAGGTAAATATTCATTTCAACATGAGGCAAACAAATGACTTGTCAAAAACATGATTCGTGGAAAATATTTATGAAGGAAAATCTAAATGATCTTGTCATTTCTAAATATGTTGTGATAATGAAATGAGAGAGATCAGAGGACCATGAAAGATTCACTCGAAGCTGACATTGTTCCTTCATATTCATTTTTGCTTAAGATTGAATTAATTAACATAACTATTCGAATAGATAGACACATTGGTTCAACGAAGTTTATCAGTCTATTGACTTCAATACACTGAAACGAAATTCTTGCAAAGAATCTATTTAACAAAAAAGTTAAAAAATAATTAAATATTATGTGATTAGAACAACTATTGCTAAACATAGCTTAATGGAACCTCCTATATTCATTTTTCAATGGGTATTAATTGTAAGTAATATTTATAATTAAACTTCAACACACTGTTTCGGAAATTTTTTAGTTCGAGCCCCGTGTTCTTTCATTTTTAGCATCTTGCTCTCTAATATCTCGTGATTTTAGCATCGAGGTCCTTTTCTGTTAGTTTAACTGTTAAATAGTCAGAATTGATACATATTCATGGTGGTGTGGTTTTTTATCACATAGTTGCCATTGGGCGATGGTTTAAATGCTAAAAATTTAATCGTTTTAAGGCTTTTAATTAGTAAACCAATGTTAGGACATGAAAATTAGACTAAAATAGTCATAAAGTAACATTAATAATATTTATTTATTGATTCAACAAATAAATATTTCTTTTACATAGAAATAATATTTATTTATTTATCAATCCAAATGAATGTCGTATATAGTAGGTGCGAAAACCAGAACAGATAGATTTAATTCGGGCGGAATCTTAACATCTTTTCATTCGACACCAGTGATTGGATCCAAGGATGCTGAAACTCTTTCAGTTCCAAAAATTTTCTCAATTCTACGACATACACATACAAAGAGATAAAAGTCGTCGATTATATCTGTAAAATATCCGATAGAACATAGTAGAGAATAATTTCCAAAAAATAATGCAATTCATAGTCGTTAGCACGAGGTGATCAATAGCATTGATCAAAAGGAATAATCAATAGCATTAATCAAAAGGACTAAGAGAAAATAGCATAATAGTCCTCAATTTTTTACAAGAGTTACATTTTAGTCCCAACTTACCAGCCAGGGCAGTTTCTCTAACAATCCAGCAACAATGTTGGGAATAGAAATGCACCTTATGGTAGGTTGGAGATCAAAATGCAACTCGCATGAAAAGTCAGGGGACATCAACAACTTATTTTTCTTTTGAAAAACGAAAAAAATAAAATAAAAATTCCATCACAACAGTCTATACACATCTTAATCAAAAATGGAATTTAAGTATTATCCTAAAAATACCTGAATCATCCACTTTGGAAGAGGTGTTAGAGGCTTGACCGAAAAAAGGATACGAGGATTTTTTCAACTTGAACGAAGGATCTGAAGAGGAGAACGAGGAGAGCACCGGTGTATGTGTATCCATTGTTCGTTGAAGAGAAGAAAGTTTGTGGTTAATCGATATCTCTTCGAGATGAGAAGAAAAACTGAAATATATATTACTTGGATGCAGGGTTGTTTGATGAGAAGCTGAAAGATAGAGGGTTAGGGATCAATTAAAGATTTGTAGGACACGTGGAATAGGAAAATAGTAAAATACACGTCCCACGCAAATTGAAACACTCCACAAATTGTGACTCATAAACGTAAGTCCTGGCAGCAAAGTCAACAATATCAAGTCACGCTCTACACCTTGGTGGTTCAAAAAGAAGGCGGGGGCGTGGGGGGACACAATACCCAATAAAAGTTGGTAAATTAAATGAATTTATTCGGATTTTTTAATATTTGTGTTTGTAACACACACATACCCACACTCAGGCGATATTTTCATGGTAATTAACGTTTGAAAAATGTTATTTAGGGTGTGTATTCAATTGAGACTTTTTAAAGTGGGTGACTTTTGTGAATTTTGTGAACTTTTAAGTGATTTTTATGAATTTGGTAAGAATTAGTAAAAGTTTCTTATGAATTTGTGTAGACTTTTACTAGAGACTTTTTATTTTTTTTTAAAAATATTAAACATATATAATGTAATATGTTAAACAACTTCTTATATATTCAAATCGTCCACAACTCATATAATTGAAAATGTAAAGTAATAAATCCTATTTTTCATGACAATCTTTTTCCGAAAAAAATAATTCAAGTTATGTCGAGTAGATTAACAAATAGTCAAAATATTAAAAAAAAGTAATAATATTTTAGTAATTATCAACAAAAAAAAAATTAAAAAATCAAACATTTCCAACATCATTCCACATGTCAGCTGCTAGAGACGCCTCCATGCATTAGTATTCTCTCTTTCTTGTTATTGACTCTCAAAAAATGGTCCAAAGTCTTCCCCCTCATTAATCGAAAAAGATGAAGAATCTTCGTTATCAGGTTCAATTGAAAATTCATCGGAACGACACTCTTTACAGAGAAAATTGTGTAATCCTACACGAACTAATACGAGTTCCGCTTGTGTACGATCTGAAAATGGAGGATCTATTTTGAAAATTGTGAATCTTGATTTAAATATACCAAATATCATCTCAACTACGTTCCTCAAGGAAGCGTGACAAAGATTAAACAACTCTTTTGTATTTTCAGGGTCACAACCTTGACCAGCAAAATCTTGAATATGATAACGGGCACTTCGAAAAGGAGTTAAAAATTGACATCGATTTGGAAATCCACAGTCTCCCAAAAAATATTTACCTGGACATAAAATACTTGTAAAATGAACAAGTAATTATGATACAATAAGATTTAAAAAAAAGGAAATAATAAAGTAGTACCTTGTGGCACTTTAAGTCCATTTCTACTTGTCAAAACATCACTCAACACTTTAGAATCATGTGCTGACCCCTCCCACCCACTAATCACATATATAAATTCCAAATCAAAGTTACAAGCAGCCAAAACATTTTGAGAAATTGTTCAATGACGATTTCTATAACTACTTGTATCACGTCCAGTTACCATTGCTGGAATATGGGTATCATCAATGGCTCCAATACAATCCTAAAAATAATAAAATAGTACAAAGAAATCATGAGAACACTATTAATAACATAAAACAAAAATTATAATAAATATTATTTCATCACTTACTTTAAAGTAAAGGTAAAATCTTGTACTTTCCCTTATTTTTTCTGGCACAACGGATCCCGGTTTGACCATTATATCTATTGCAAATTTGTTTAATGTCTGTAAAATCTTGTTGAAACTTCGGCTGGTAGTGAAATGCGATCGGCCAAAATTTTGACGAATCAAGCAATATCGAGTATTTTGACCAACAATGAGTAGGAATGTTGTAAGCATTTCTTCAATACAAATATACCTAGTATCCCGTAAGAACCCTTTTTCTCTAAGGATAGTGCTTAATTTTAAAAATATATCCGGATACATTCTATAAACTTGCCGAAAGTTTTCTGGATCTTCCTTTAATATTTCATGTATATAGTCATATCCATATCTAGTTTTTAGTCGCCTAGTTAGCGAACGTGTAGTATGTGCACAACACATATTATTTGTACAATCATTTATCATGTAGAGAATTGCTTGAATTGCCATCCATAAATACCGAATGGTTTCATATAATGCTTCCTTATAGTCATCTTCTTCAATCTCATCCACCTCTTTTTCATGATCTTCATGTATGTTAACATTAAACATTATATATACGGAAGTACCTAAAAATAGAAGGAACAAAAATTAAATACATAGACAGAGAAAATAACAATGTCATGTAAAGACAAATCAATTATCATCAAATTCATAAAATATCAAAAAATACAGTCAATGAATAAATCTAAGAACAATTCAAAAACTTTAAAAATTACTACCAATCATGTCCAAAAAACAAAGCGTCAATTTAATTTAAATGTTATCCATTTAGAACGTTTTTCTGGCGTCATGCTCAAGAACTCAGAATTTTTTGCTTTTGTATTAAGCAAATCAAGGACCTTGAAACGATCATCTTCGTCCAAGTTTGGGATTTCCTTGATAATGTTCCAACAATTAGGCTCTCTAGTGTCAATTGATTCAATTGGTTGGGTGATCTTGTCAACTGTACCAGCAAGTTTGTCTATCATGTTTGGCTGAGTAGTTTGGGCTCAAATGAACTAGATTTTGCTTCAAATTCTGTTCTACTTCGTTTTCGAATTGATGGGGAAAGCTCTGAACTTATAGGATCCTATTTGTCGTTTACTATAAATGCCTCGGTATTAGGATCATACATGAAGTCGTCTATTAAACCATCACTGACTCTTCTTTCTTCAGTATGAAATGTTCTTGCATCAGTATCATCCCCTAATGCAATTGAGTGTGTCCCAATAGCCATCCCACTTCCAACTGCAATTCTCAAATCTTCATAGTCTGGAAAAGTATCTGTGCGATAACTTTTATCTTCGGGATGTGACTATTAAAGGAAAAAATAATTATAAGTGCTAATATATGAAACATAGACATCACTAACCAATAACTCAAATTTCATATTTTTCTAAATTAAGTAATAAATGAAGCTCACCATAAAGTAATCGCCCCATGGTTCATCACTAGCAGTGAATTTCTTCATTACATGATCCCATCCAAACCTAGAGTTATGACGCATAAGCTTAGAATACTTGTACTGTTTTTTAAACCATTTTATATGACTTTTATATTGGGCATAGGTCTTTTCAACACCAAGTTTTTGGTTAAGATAAGGAAGTATATGTTTTTCAACAGTTATCTTGCTCAACACACCATTACTGTCACACCAACCACGCGTGGCAGCATTAACCATGAGTTTTAAAAGCTCATTGCTTTCTTCTCACGTCCATTTCTCATATTTTTCAGTACATCTTCCTTGAACCTTGTCATTTCCTTGTGTTGAATCTTCCATTAAGACTAGTGTCATATAATTAGAGAACAAATAATTAGGCAAATACAAAATGATAAACATCATGATTTTATTGATATAAAAAGTATAGAAAATTGCATCAAAATTCAATAGAATTTGCTGCAATCAATACAAAGGGTCCTTTTCCCCTTGCTTTTGTGTGTGCGAGCATGTGGGGTGGATAATGGACAAAATTGGTATATGTATTTCAAAATTATTTTTTTACATGTCTGGGAAGTAATAGACATTGGATATGTTTTTCTTTCTTCCTTATTTTTTTGTACTTACTTCACAAGGTTTAGAAACAGGTCTTTAAGTTGTGCTTTTAACTAATATGTCTAGTAAAGCAGTATGAACACATGCTTCATTAGAATAACTTATTCCTTCTTAAAGTGAGATGACTCTTGGTCGTTAAGTTGGGTAATTTTTTTACCAAAGCATTTACATTATAGTTTTCTGATTCTATAGTTAGATTTTGCTTCATATTACCCATTGTGGAGTCTACAATTGTACTGGACTTCCGGGAGCAAGTGAATCGGTTATCATACTTTCTAGACAGTTTATTCCTTGGACTTTCAGTAAAACATGTATTTGAAATGAGTACAGCAAAATAGTGACAATATTGATCCTTATTCCTTGAATCCTAATTAAAGAGACTTATAAATAGCCATAGACTTGTTAATCAGAAAACAACAAAATAGATATCCATAGACTTATTAATTCAAGACCTTAACACCTAACTAAATCCTAAAGAGAATTATAACTAAAACAATCAACAACAGGTTGTGGATGCAGCTCCTTAGGACAGTAGCTAATTTCCAACAATCAAAAAGTCACAGATCCTTATTCCTGATATTTCTGTGTCATCTATTATATCTCAAGAAATTTACTTATTTAGTTCATTTTGCTCCCCCAAAAAAATTCCTAGATTATATAAATCCTAGATCAAAACCAGACCCATACGTAAAGAAAGGAAAACTCGTGGGTGGCAGATAGGTTTAGGGTAGGGCAGGGTATCAGTTCACACTTTTCCTCACTCTTCAATTATAAGTGCAAAAAATAGCCCCAACGACTAACACAACTCCGTGGACGGCTCTCGATCAATCTCAAGAGGCATTCCCATTCTGCAAATCTTTTAATTTTTTTCAGAAGCCTCGAATCCTTTACTCGCATTGCTAAATAACCAGATATTTTACCAACGAAACAGAAAAGAAAATTTAATATAGCAATTTTGGAGATGGGTTTATCCATAAATCAAACAGAAAACGAGAGATAGAGATGTACCTATTAATGAAGAAAAACACAGAGCTCAAAGAAAATCATTACATGATTGGAAGAAATTGAAGGAGAAAACCCTATAGAGGAAAAAAGAATACGGCTTAGGCGAGAAATCTCTCGATGGAGATGAGATTTTCTTTTGAGATTGCTATTTATATTTTCTACCAAAAAGTCTCTCAAAGTCCAATAAATTAGAAATTCCCTGAAAGTCATTCTCAATTAAATATCTCAAAACTTGTAGAGACTCCTAAAAAGTTTTAATTGAATACCCCGTGACTTGTAGAGACTTTTTAAAAGTCTATAAAAGTGTTTATTGAATACACTTAAACTTTTAGAGAGTCTTTAAAAATCTCAATTGAATACACCGAAACTTTTTAAATCTCCAAAGGTCTTTAAAAGTCTCAATTTTTAATATTTATTTTCAATCATGTTAAGAATCGAGAATCACAATATAATAAATTAATAAAACGAATTCATACCTGCGGAAGCCATCGTTGATATAAGTAATAGTTGTAATTGTAATAACAGTCAGATGTTCCCCTCCTTGCTCCTCACAAAGTATTAGCTATCAATGGGGCAAGCTAAATAAAATAATCATGGAGAGGAGAGGGGACTTAGTCTTTATATAGGAAATAATTGAGTCATCCCATTACGACTAGAATTCTAATTAGAGTTTATTTTCGGCCCACATACTTAAAATTACCACATCATATTAATTACAACCCTTAAGGTGTTAAAAACCCAATTGATCACTTAATAAATTTGGTCCAAACACAAATATCATTATGAGCCATACATCTAACCCGTAAAATTTACAATCGAATGTAAAGCCCACATATTGAATTATTCCAACATTCTCCCACTTGAGCTAGCATTTGATTGCTATAACAAAGTTTTAACACCCGGATTAGACTACGTAGGTGACCACAAAAGTATAGCTCCAATGATGACACCTTACGTAACATGATCCAGTCCAACAAGAATATTAACACCTAACATGGAAATCATTACACCAATTAAGCGATGTAAGACTATTCCACAGCTACAAATACCAACAACCTTATTGACACGGGTCCCCATCCTTCAACCAATGTGGTAGTATATGGTATAAATTTAACACCAAATGTGATAAAAAAACTGTGCTAATCCATATCAGTCCTCATAATACTTTCGATCAAAATGAAGCCACATGTCTCTAAAAGAGACTCACCTTATGTCTTTATCTGTCATATCTCGATATCACAATAATATCATAAAAAAGAGATATAAGTCAAATGCATGCTCAAAATAGTTCATGAATAGTGAAAAAAAATTTATTATCAGAATTGGCTGTACCCGAAAACATATGGGTTGTCTACGTACCACACAAAGGGATCAAGCTCAAAATATGGTTCATAATTAACTCCCACTAACCAAAAACATCAAATGTTTCCACAATACCCATGTTAACAACATGTGTTTTATGGACTTTTAGAGCGAGTCCCTTAGTCAAAGGATCTACAATCATTGCCTCTGTATTGATATGCTCTATTTTTGTCTGCCCTTTCTTGACTCTGTCTCTAACCACCAAATATTTGATGTCAATATGCTTTGACCCACCAGAACTTTTATTATTCTTTGAAAAGAATACTACTACACTGTTATCACAGTAGATGATGATTGGTCTTAAGCTGGAATCAACAACTTTCAAGCCAGAGATGAAATTTCTTAACCAAACGGCTTGAACTGTAGTCCCATAACTTGCTACAAATTCAGCTTGCATAATAGAAGATGCCACTAGAGTATGTTTAGCACTTTTCCAAGAAATAGCACCACCAGCTAATGTAAAAATATAACCTGAGTTTGATTTCAAATCATCTTGACATCCTGCAAAATCAGAATCTGAATATCCTACCACCTCAAAATGATTAAATGCTGGAATGTAAGCATATAACTTTCAGTTTTCTTCAAATATCTTATAACTTTCTCAGCTACTTTCCAATGCTCTTGTCCAGGATTAGACTGAAATCTGCTAAGGACAATTACTACGTAGGCTATATCTGGTCTAGTGCAAACTTGAGTATACATCAAGCTCCCCATAGCACTAGCATATGAAATCATCTTCATAGATTCCCTTTCTAGCTCATTACTTGGACATTGAGTTTTGTTAAATTTATTTCCTTTTATGATAGGTATATCACCATGTGCACAGTTCTGCATATTAAACCTTTCTAGAACACGTCGTATATAAACTTTCTGAGAGAGTCCCAATAAGCCACGATTTCTATCACGATGTATTTCAATACCAAGTACATAGAAAGCTTCTCCAAGATCTTTCATCTCAAAATTAGCAGACAACAGTTTATTTGTCTCATGAAGCAGCCCTAAGTTACTGCCAGCAAGTAGAATGTCATCAACATACAGTACAAGGAAAATAAAATTTCTCTCACTGATTTTGAGATAAATGCATTGATCAACAGTATTTTCAACAAAATCAAGAGAGGTCATAATCAAACTTCAAATACCACTGTCGAGATGCTTGCTTAAGTCCATACAATGATTTGTTTAACTTATATACCAAGTTCTCTTTTCCTTTCACAACAAAGCCTTCAGGTTGTTTTATATAAACCATTTTAGAAAAATCTCCATTCAAAAATGCTATCTTCACATCCATTTGATGAAACTCCAAATCGTAGTGTGCCACAAGAGTCATGATAATTCGAAAAGAATCTTTCGACGGAGAAAGTTTCAACATAATCAATGCCCTCTCGTTGAGTGATACATTTTCAATCAATCTTGCTTTCTTTCATTTAACATTTCCTTTTGAATCTAATTTACTTTTGAAAATCCACTTGTTATCTACAGCCTTAGCATCTAAAGAAAGTTTAACAAGATCCCAAACTTTATTCCTTTTCATGGAATTCATTTCATCTTCTATGGCAGCTATCCATTTATCTGTCTCAAGACTTGTCAATGCTTGATTATAGGTTACAAGATCAACAATATGCCCAATATTAAAATCGCTCTCCAATAAATATGTAATATAATCACTGGGCAATGCAGTTATTCTTTCCCTTTGTGATCTCCTAACTTGTGGCTCAGAAACCGATTCAATTGTTATTTGAGGAATTGGAGGTTCCTCCTGGTTCATCGGTTCTTCATTAACAACTTCAATTGGTTGAGAACCAACTCTTTCCTGTATAACAGAAACTTGAATAACAACTTGATTTGGTTCAACAAAAATTTCTCTCTATGTGGAACTCTCACTATCTCCAAAATCACTCTCCATAAATTTAGCAGTAATGGACTCAACAATTCTAGTGCCACGATTTGGACAGTAGAACTTATATCCTTTTGATCTGTCCAAATACCCAATAAAGTAATCAGGAGTTGATTTAGGGTCTAATTTCTTTTCAAATGGATTATAAATCTTAACCTTAGCTGGACATCCCCAAAAAATAAGTCAAACTTGGCTTACGTCCTGTCCATAATTCAAAATGTATCTTTGTAACAGCTTTACTTGGAAACTCTGTTCAAAAAATATATAGCAATTTTCAAGGCTTCACCCCATAAATATTCAAGTAAATTTGTTCTATTCATCATGCTCGTAACCATATCTTTCAGAGTTCGATTACGTCTTTCAGAAACACCATTCTGCTCAAATGTCCCCGGCATGGTGTGTTGGGATACTATTCCACATTCTTGTAAAACTTTGCACAATCACCCATGTTTTGACCAGACTCATCATATTATTTTTTTCATTCATAGTATTCACCGCCACGGTCAAACCTTATAACTTTGATACTTTTTCCACATTGTTTCTCTACTTCCAGTTTGAAAACTTTGAATTTCTCAAGTGCATGTGATTTATCGTTAATCAAGTAAATATATCTATATTGTGAGAAATCATCAATGAAAGTTATGAAGTATTTATTCCCACATATAGTAGAAGACAAAGGTCTACTGATGTCAGTGTGTATCAAGTCCAAAATTCCATTACTCCTAGTTGAATCCTTCCTTGTAGATTTAGTTAACTTTCCACTTATACAATCCACACAGGTTTCAAAATCAGAGAAGTCTAAAGAGGGAAGTATCTCATTTTTTACTAATCTTTCCATTCTATCCTTAGAAATATAACCTAAACGCTTATACCACAACATAGAGGATGATTCACGAATTAAATTTCTTTTCTTTGATACATTGGTAACACACGAGACATCACCAAAAGGAGCCAAAGATAATTTATATAAACCTTCA